CACTGATGTCATCTGCGAATACTTCGTTTTGCACCGCTTTTATGATTGCTATTTTTGCACTTTCGTTAGAATCTATCGATGTCGGGTGTCGGTGTTCGTTCTCAACGTTTTGGCCATCATCAAGGCTTCGTACGTCTTTGTTTGTTTTCTGGTTTCTTATCTTGGCGATGAGACAGGATACCGCGCGCTGAAGTTTTAGCCAATCCGAGAAGCGTTCGAACCGTTTTGACTTCAGACCCGTTTCTCGTGTTGAGCTGGTCACATACGCGTTGACTTTAACCTCGGGATCGTTTTCGTTAATAGTGATGTCGTCTATTATTGGCGACGCCGCCTCGTCAATAGATGGTTCATTCGATTGGTTCATCTTCAGAAATGTTGGACCCTCGAGCCAGTCGGATTCTATCAGGCCCTTAGCCGTTGTGCCACAAGTTGCTAAGTCTGCCGGGTTTGTAGAAGTGTCAACAGATCAAAGAGTATATTTACCCCTAAAGGATTTGCAGGAAACCCACCCATTTTCACACCTTCATCTCCTATTCCCAGCCCAGCAGCTTACCAAGAATGTATCGAAGGGATAGCAAAAACAAATGAACGTGTTGTTGCAAGCTTAGCGATACAGAATCTCCCAAAATGTCATCCAGAAGTATTTGAAGGGGATGCAACTCTATTCCATCCATGGAAAAAATCATTCAATGCTATGATTCATGATGCAAACTTAAATCCTAACCAAGAAATGGCTTATCTCAGAAACTACACCAAAGGCAAAGTTCGAGAACTAGTGGACAACTACAGGAAAAGACAACAAAGTGATCCCGTAATCACTCTTCGTGACCTCTGGACTGAAATGGGAAGCTAAGGCGATTTGGGAACACTGCTATTATAACAAACTCACTATTACAACGATTGCAACAATCGGCAAAGTTTAACGGGCGAGATAAAGCAAAGTTGCAAGATTTCGCGGACGTGTGCATGGATGTAGATAACCAAATCAACAGCTTACCAGGACTTGCCTGCTTGAATTACGCGAGCGCAATACGACCAATTGTTGATAACCTTCCAAACTTTCTTCAATTCAAGTGGGAGAAGAAAGTGGTCAGTTATGCAGAAGAAAATAACGATGATTATCCCGGATTTCATATATTTGCAGTTATGATGCAAAAGCAAGCTAAGTTAAAGAATCGTCCCAATGTCACTGGGAATTGAAATCGAATTGCTAATAGCTCATACTGTATTACTGTAGTTGTACAGGGTGTCCCCCTAAAAGTATCCACTATAGAAATTATCTTATTTTTATCAGTTGAATGCCTGAGCACTATGCTGAACACAAGAGTGCGTAAACACAATTGAATTGAATTTTTAATTACCAGGCGCATGAAATCCTATGCTTCACAACAATATAATTTATATAGCGGGACGTTTTTGCAACACCCTGTACTGCACTTAATTGTCAAATAAAAACTTATTACCAGTAATAAGTGTCATTAAATAGAGTAAAATCCCGCATATAAGAACCTAGAATTTAAGAACCCGTTAGGCTAAAATATTTCATTTAGACCCCCTTTAAATAAGAACCTATTCAGGCTAGAATTTCAAAACAGATTCTTATATTATCAAAAAACTGGATATAGACTTGGTATAGTGCATATACAGTCATTTCTTTAGATCATTTGTGCTCCACTAAAACGAGTCGCCTTTCTCTTAAGAGAATAAGAACCTATTTAAGAACCTGTTTATCCTAATTTCCTGGTAAGCACCATTTACATAATAACCTTTTTAGGCTAATTTGGAAAATCTATGTTCTCATATGCGGCGTTTTGCTATAAATCTTAAATTTTGCATTCGCGTTTTGACAGTTCTGCTCTTTTAAAGTTCCAGGCACCTAAAATCTTTTGTCCTTGACATAATGTCGATTTCTAGGGAGATTCCGAGGTTGCCTTTTTTTATATAACTCTGTATAATAGTCAGTGCAGGCATGACCGTTTAATTGATTACCGACAAAGACTGAATTCGTGCCGTTGATAGGTTGTTGGCAGACGTTGCAAAAGGCAAATTAGTTGTTTTCTTTGCATCTCGCTGGCACACAGGCAATTCATTGTTTTTTCTTGCTTATCGTTGAATGATGTTGAATGATGTCGAATGATGCTGAATGATACTGAATGATGCTAAATGATGCTGAATGATGCTGAATGATGCTAAATGATGCTGAATGATGCTGAATGATGTTAAATGATACTGAATGATGCTGAATGATGCTGAATGATACTGAATGATGTTAAATGATGCTGAATAATGCTGAATGATGCTGAATGATGTTAGATGATGCTTAATGATGTTGAATGATACTGAATGATGTTAAATGATGCTGAATGTTACTGAATGATGTTAAATGATGCTGAATGATGCTGAATGATGCTAAATGATGCTGAATGATGCTGAATGATGTTAAATGATACTGAATGATGCTGAATGATGCTGAATGATACTGAATGATGTTAAATGATGCTGAATAATGCTGAATGATGCTGAATGATGTTAGATGATGCTTAATGATGTTGAATGATACTGAATGATGTTAAATGATGCTGAATGTTACTGAATGATGTTAAATGATGCTGAATGATGCTGAATGATGCTAAATGATGCTGAATGATGCTGAATGATGTTAAATGATACTGAATGATGCTGAATGATGCTGAATGATACTGAATGATGTTAAATGATGCTGAATAATGCTGAATGATGCTGAATGATGTTAGATGATGCTTAATGATGTTGAATGATACTGAATGATGTTAAATGATGCTGAATGTTACTGAATGATGTTAAATGATGCTGAATGATGCTGAATGATGCTAAATGATGCTGAATGATGCTGAATGATGTTAAATGATACTGAATGATGCTGAATGATGCTGAATGATACTGAATGATGTTAAATGATGCTGAATGATGCTGAATGATGCTGAATGATGTTAGATGATGCTTGTAAGAGACTTAGGATCTAAAGGCTTCCGCGGGATATTGAATTTGTTTCTTTTTAATAATAAATGATAAAATATACGCAAACATATAGACTTATACAAACAATAATTTTACTGAGTCCGCCATCTTGAATATTCTCTCCTTGTGGTCGCCACTATATTGTTCTTACATAACGTTCTACTTCTAACTCTCTCACACTCCCCCCGTTGATCGATATAACCTCATCGATCAACAACATAATGTCAACAAATTCTTAATTAAAACGTAATAATAGCTAATCTTCTATACTGAAATGTTAAAGGTTCAACTTAGCTGTTGTAGCCACTGCTTTCGTAGTTGATCTGCTGCGACGGCTGCCTTTCTTCTTGGTTTTAATGTTTCAACTGTTTCCTCTGGATCGTCTTTCTTCTTGGATGGGTTTTCTCTTTCAGCGTCTTCGTTTTCTGCGTCATTAATCTCCAACGGGATCAACGCCTGTATTGGTCTTCTTAGTTTGCTAGGTTTCATTCCCTTGCTACCAATCTTGACTGCCGCTCCTCTGACTTGATCATCTTTACCAGTAATCAGTTCTTCGACTCGACCTATTTTCCACGAAACTCTTGGCGTGTCATCACGAACGACAACCACATCTCCTACTCGAACAATTCTTCTCTGTGGGGTGTTCTTGATTCTCAAGCGATGTGATTCTCTAAGTTCCAATAGGTATTCATTACGCCATCTTTTCCAAAAATGTTCGATTAGTTTTTCCAGATGTACTCCTTTACGGACAATCTCGCTCTTGTTTGGTTGCCAGTCTGGATCCTTTTCGTCGTTGTCATTGACAATGTTGGGTAATGATAGAAGACGTCGACCACACAACAAGTGCGAAGGAGTAAGCGGTTCCTCGATATCTTCGGATGACACGTATGATATCGGTCTGGAGTTAAGGATAGCTTCAACTTCGGTTACAATGGTTAGTAGTTCATCGTATGTTACCTTCGAATTCTTTAGAACCTTCTTCAAACATCGTTTTACTGATTTTACCAATCGTTCGAAAAAGCCTCCCCACCAGGGAGCCTTTTCTATGTTAAAGCACCATTGGATTTTCTTGGAAGATAGATAACATTTCACTTCAGGTAGATCAAACAGGGCGCATAATTTCTTTGCGGCTGAGATAAAGGTTTTAGCATTGTCCGATATAACCTTGGCTGGAACCCCGCGTCTTGCGGTGAATCTCTTAAAGCTTCTCAAGAAAGCTTCCATCGACATTTCTCGGACAAGTTCGAGGTGGACAGCTCGTGTTACGCCGCATGTATATAAACATATCCACGTCTTCGCCATTTCTAAGCTGGATTTATCTTCGTTTTTAACATATAATGGTCCAGCAAAATCAATACCCGTACATGTGAATGGTGGGTCTTCTACTATTCTGGATTTGGGTAATGGTGGTGGGTCTGCTGGGTTATATGGCTTTCCCTCGAAGCGTCGACAAGGACTGTGTATTATCTTTCTAATCAATTGCCTTCCCTTGACAATCCAGAATTTCGATCTGATTTCGGTGAGTGTTTCTTTTGTGGTGAACGCGTTCGTGGCATTCTTCTATGATGAGTCGTGTTACTCTGTGATTTCTGTCCAACATGATCGGGTGTTTGGTTTCGTAATGAATCTCAGCGTTTGATATGCGTCCACCGCATCTTAGCACTCTTTGGCTGTCGCTGAACAGTGCGAACTGTCGCCGCCAAGACTCGTATCTGGAATCGCGTTTTAGAGATGTTTGTATTTCTTTAATCCATAACAATTCTGCCTCTTTAACATCGTCAGTCGTCAATTCTTTCGATTTGCGCATGCATTTCCTTTTCAGAATCTTTGTGAATTTCAAGACTCGAGCAGTAACTCTGATCAGCCTTCGAAACGAACTGAAGTTATTACAGTTTATTATCATAGCAATGCTCTTCTCTGTCTTCTCGCCCTCAACCACCAAAAGGGAGTTTTGAACGTTGTTTCCCAATTTCTTTTGGTCAGCGATTCTCATTTCTTTCGTACATTCTTTCGGAATTTCTGTGATTATTTGCTCTTTATGTTCCTCCCCGTCCATTTCGCCATATAACATGCCAGGGCCATGATTCCAAAGCTCACAATTGGCAATTTCTGTAGGGGCCATTCCTCTTGAAGGAATGTCTGCTGGGTTTTCTTGACCTGGACAATGCTTCCACGATGA